TGCAGCATACCTGATGCCATGATTTCACATTCAGTAAAAAGCTCAAGTTCTACTGTAGATGTCATAGAAAGGCTGCCATGCTATTTTCGCTAGATGATTATCATGGCCAAAAGAATTTAAGATCTTATCACAGGAGTTTTGAGAAAACAGGAAATGCTGTCAGTCTAATGCATCCCTAACTTTATCTGTCGCTGTGTATTCTGTGGATCTAGAGCGTAAAAAGGGAAACTGGGCTAAACCAGCATGGACAAATGTCACCCATGTGTGCAGTAACTCAGTTTGTATACCACAGAACACCACAAACTGTGTGGGGTTTATACAAATGTACTAGAAAATTAGAGAACTAACTAAGTAGCTGAACTAAATCTGTAATGTAGTGATACTAAATTACTAGTAATCATCAGGATTGGCAGGTCACACGGAGATAGGTAATGTTGGGTACACCTTTAACTGAGTCACTCAAAAGTTCCTGAAAGGTTGTTAAGAAACTTTAATTGCACTCTGTCACCTGGCCAAAAAGGCCGTTCCTGTTTTGTTCTTTCTCTTTTTTTTCTATAAAGTTGCCTAGCTGACTAATGAACTCTTTGTCTGTATTTCTGTAGGTTGAGAGGGAAAAAGTTGCCCTGATCAACTCTCTGCAGGAGAGCCAGAAGCAGCTGGAACAGGCCTATGGGACTGTGTCCGAGCAAAAGGAAACGGTCAACAGGTTGACTGAAAATCTAAGTGCAATGAGGAAACTTCAGGCCAGTAAGGAGCGGCAGTCTGCCCTCGACAGTGAGAAAGACAGGGACAGCCATGACGACGGAGACTACTATGAACTGGACATTAACGGGCCTGAGATTCTGCAGTGTAAATACACCGTTGCAGTGTCTGAAGCTGGAGAACTGAGGCAAGAGCTGAAAACACTAAGGGCGCAATACGAGGAGTGTCGAACCCAATATGAAGATGAGCGAGCGCGGCTGGAGGGCGACGTCCAGGACTTGAGGTCAAAGCTGTCGTCCTTGGAGAAAATTAGCCAAGCAGATAAAGCAGCGATGTCACGTCTGGAGAGGGAGCTCCGTCTGGCCAGCGAAGCTGCAGGAGAGTCGCTTGGCAGCCTTAATGTGGCGCAGGATGAGCTCGTAGCCTTCAGTGAAGAGCTGGCCAATCTCTACAACCATGTGTGCATGTGCAACAATGAAACCCCTAACCGCGTCATGCTCGACTATTACAAGGAAGGTAAGGCCATCGTAAGAAAGGGGCAAGAAGCAAAGGATCACCAGTCAGTACTTCTCACTAACGGGTTAATCGGTGAGACTGAATCTGGAAAGTCAGACTCCGGCAGCGCAGCAGTTACTGCAGCTCCAGCACACGAGCACCGGCCGGAACCCATGAACATCTATAACCTTGTTGCTATTATCAGGGACCAGATCCGCCACCTGCAGCAAGCGGTGGACCGCACCACAGAGCTGTCACGTCAGAGACTTGCCAACCTGGAGCTGAGCGCAGTGGCTGACAAAGACAAAGAAGCGTGCATGGAGGAGATTCTCAAACTGAAATCCCTGCTTAGTACCAAAAGGGAGCAGATTGCCACTCTCAGAGCTGTTCTCAAGGCCAACAAACAGGTGGGAGGATGGTTTGTGTATGTGTCAGGGGAACGATGTTTATTAATGCACACATAGAATAGAATAGCGATGCAAAAACCACAGAATTTAAAAACTGCAGAACTTTACATTAATCTTTTTATGTTGTTCCCTTCAGACAGCTGAGGTTGCTCTGGCCAACCTCAAGAGTAAGTATGACAGTGAGAAGACCATGGTGACCGAGACTATGATGAAGCTCCGTAATGAGCTCAAGGCTTTGAAAGAGGACGCAGCTACGTTCTCATCTCTCCGGGCCATGTTTGCTACAAGGTACGACACATACTTTCAATGTAAATCAGCCATTATGTACATAAATTGGGCAAATATAATTTAAAAATAAATAAATAAATCAGGTGGCTCAGACCAAACGAATCCTTCTCGGTTACAGGAGACATTAAAAAGAACATTGATATAGATTTGTAATATTTCTGCTTTTTCACTCGAGAGAAAATATTTTGCGTTTCTGTGTATTTCTCTGAGAAAGATGCAAAGCATTGTGGGAGCAGTCTGATGTAATACTTGTGCAGTCAGTTAGCGTGGTAATCATACTCCCATCTGGAAAATGCAGTCTGGGGAATCATGACAGCCGCAGTAGTTTGAGGCAAATTGCTCCACCTGCTGGCAGTAAAGTTTACCCCCTTCTCTCTTCTCTTCTCTTCTCTTCTCTTCTCTTCTCTTCTCTTCTCTTCTCTTCTCTTCTCTTCTCTTCTCTTCTCTTCTCTTCTCTTCTCTTCTCCTCTCCTCTCAGGTGTGATGAGTATGTTACACAGCTGGATGACATGCAGAGGCAGCTGGCTGCTGCTGAGGATGAAAAGAAGACGCTGAACTCTTTGTTACGTATGGCCATTCAGCAAAAACTCGCATTAACTCAGCGCCTAGAGGATTTGGAGTTTGACCACGAACAAGCACGCCGCAACAGCGCCACAACAGTGGGAGGCAAGGCCAAAACGAAGGGCAAGGGAGCCTCTTCCAGCCGCAGTGTAAGTCACGAGCTGTAATGCAGAACGACCTCTAAGGCACAAAATTTCAGTGAAGGCCAGCTCTTCTAGATGTTTTCAAAATGTAAAAAAAATAATAATTTGGGTCAGAATAACTCTTTCTTTTACTGGTAGGTCTCGATATTCAGCATTGAGTTATTTGTTTGTTTTGACGAAGTATAAGCAGGTGTAATGTGGAAAGAGGAAGAACTTGTCCCCTGTAGTAGCCTAAAAGTCTATTGGTGATTCATGTCTGAACCCTGCATGCAAAGCACACCCAACACCTTTGTTGTGCATCTCACTTAATGCAGGAGAAACTGAAATTAATTTCATTTTTTTCTCTTTTGTCTTTGCAGTAAACTCATGAAGCCAAGTGTCCTTAACGAGCTCCGTCAGGTTATGCACGTCGGTGGCCAGTTGTCTGCTCTCCTGGTTTCTCCACTCTCAATCACACGCCATATCGTGTCACTACTAAGACGAGAATATATCAAACAGTATTAGCCAAGAGCCTTGTTTTAGAGTGCCAGAACAGCTATTTAAAATGGCATCAAATTCTATGAAAACTGCAGAAAATAACACACCAGCTACCCGGTGCAGTCCATCAGTCTTCCAAAATATGAACCACTATGATTACTCAACCGGTGGAATAGTCACAATGGGTGTTTGGTTGGTTACTTAACGCCTGACTGGCTTAGCACGTTTCTGTTTCACGTATTTGCTCCAAGCTTATTCCACTTTCTAAAATGATGCTAACTGTTTCAAGTATTGTGTAATGTTTGTACTCTGTGTGCATGCTTGTCTTCCAACATACCTTTAACCTTATTTATTTCATAGCAACAAAGTCACAGATTGCTTTTAAAGCCAGAAGTAAGTCTCTGATTTTGATGTCTGTTGGCTTTAGATTTAGTATTTGACACATACTGACAGCCAGAATTCTTGACAACCGTGTCTTCTGTCGTGCTGTATTGTCATAACTCTATGATCCTGGAAATATGAAGCTTCAAATACGGGATCTTAACTACATTGTGTATCACTATGTTCCTAACAGATAAAGCAGAGCGGTTACAAATTAAAAGTATGCTCGTTATGTCTGGAAAAAGAATAAAAATGCAAATCTTATTTAAGGATTTATAAGTTAAGGTCAGATGTATAGTATTCATAAACTCTATTCATGATAAAGAATTTTTAAGGTTACTGTTTTAATACAATTTTTTTTGTAAAGCTTTTCAAATAAGTCTGCAGTGCCATTGTGTGTTTTTTTTTCTTTATACAAGTGCCACATTCAGACATGACAACAAAAGAGAACCCTAAGTGTTTGTGCTATATAATAATATTTTACATCTTGTTGCTCACATTATTGGTCCTAATTGATTGCAGTTTTTACTATAACTGTAATTGTATTTATTTGTCTCAGTTCATTCAGACTACAGGATTTGAAATCCTTTTTATTTCATAAGGGAGTGTGCATTTAGCTGGCAGGTTGAGGCTTAAAAAAGTACTGAAATGGGAAAAAAAAAAACACAAGCAAAAATCCTAATTGTAAGATCCTGTCACTGCTTCCTGCTACAGTATGTCTGGTGAAGAAATAAATCTAACTTTTACAATTCTGATGGTTTTTTATTTTTATCTTTTTAACTCATGTCTTTATATTTTTCAAGGAAACATCTGCAAACATACATGTAAATATAAGTATATAAGGCAAAATGAGCTCTCATGCAATTGAGGCTTCAGTGAACAGCAGAAGAATAAACTGAAGGGCCAGGTGTAGCTCTCAGGTCCTGTGTCAGGTCTCTGCTGGATTTTTCCCAAATTCCTAAGGACATGACTTCAAGATACTGTTCATCTGCTGTAAATAGTTTTTCCTCACTTTGCCCAGCTTCCTCAGATTTAATAAGCTAATAGCTCTGTGGGAATCACATGTTGGTGCAAAATGGTATTTTGTGGTTGTCAAACTATGTTATCTGCATTTTTCTTATATTTATTAAAAGAAATGGAAAAGAAACGTGTTTTTCCAGCTAGTAGCAAAGTACCTGAAAATACTATTTAAAATTGGTTATTTGACATGTTAGTGTAAACACAATGCTGCTTCCTCCCTTGAGTTCGGATACCCATTTTATGCTTGAATGACTCATTGGTCAGTGATGGACTATATCACATCTAACATTAGCAACATTATTTACGCTATTAACATTAAGTGAAACTAGGTGGTTTTACATAGAGCTCTCATTTTGCACTTATGTGTATAGACATAAAAAATATACATCAATTATGATACAAATAGATCCAAATAAAGTTGTTACAGTTCTAATTAGTTACAGCAAAAGCTGCATTGTATAAAGTCTTTGCGCTGAAAAAGGTTCTTTTTCCTTAATGGGAGACGTTGACGTAAGCCCATCCCTGCCGGCGGCATGACGTCAGCGGGCGTGTCCAACAGAGGGCACAGGGGGACTCTGCAATGGGAGGTTTGTGTATTTCTTTACCTAAAATAACAAATAACGCTTATTCTACATTATCTAGCCCTCAGTTTTGCTATAATATGACCCGATTAGCTTGGAGTGACCAATATTACGACAGCAGTGGCAAGCTGAAGTTTGCGCTTTGCCAAAGATAATGTAACGTCTCATTCCAAGTCATGTTCGGGACTTTGAAGTTTCTTAACTTCGCCACGCCTCATACTCCACTCTTGCTAAAGTTTCGAGAGAGAAAAAATAACTGGCTTTAACGTTTCTTTTCTATGAGTAAACCACTGCTTACTTACGTACCCTTCCAAAGAAAAATGCTAGCCTGTTGACAAACAACTGCCCATATAACGAATGGGTTTAACGCCTCCGTTTACACCGACAGACAGTTTTTGTGAGCAGCTCACAGAGGACAGCACCTTCCTCAAACATGACCCGAGACTGGACACAGAAGTCGTGGATAAACTCATCCTGCAGCTCAACAGAATCTACCCGCAGATCCTCACTGACAAGGAGGCAACCAAAGTGAGTCCTCCTCAGCAGCCTTTTACTGTCTCTGTCGCATACTGACAGTGGTGCAACGGAATAACATTCAAGTAAAACAATGTTAAAAAAATCGAAGTTGTACTGCTCTAGAAATACACTGCGGTGTTTATTAGTGTAGTTGCAAGTGCATAATAAAACCAGTCAAACAGCAACAGAATGGCCATGAGCTCACAAGCTGTATAAACTATGCTGTTATTACTAGTTTATCACTTGCATGCAGCATTTGGTTTCGCTATAGCTGTTTATGGTAGCTGCTATGGTTTATGCAGTGGTTGCTAGGGGTGTAGCAATCTAGAAACCCAGACCAAAACCACTATTGAAACATCTGCATACCTGTATCACGGTTTCATCTTTCCTTACTGTGATATATACGTGGAGGTGTTAATGTCTGGTTAAAGCTGCTGTGTTCAAAGATCATTAAAGTGTGCGCTGATTGGAAATACATCACAATAACGGATGTTTTTTGTTCATGTTCAGTAATAGGAAAGTTGTCAGGTCTGTGGTTTAAAAAGAAGAAGAAAAAGGGGGTTTGGAGAGTTGTTATAATTGTAGTGATTGCAGATTTTCAGAACCTCATTCTGAAAATGGAACCATAGTCAACAGGATAGCAGGAGTAAAGAAAGAAAAGCGTGAAGCTGCATAAAATTAAAATGCTCAAGCATCGTCAGGTGCCTTTAACATTGTATTTCAGCAGGCACGCTTACATAAACTAGTTTAAATTCCAGTAATAAATGTATTTATTTATGTCCCATCGCTTCAAGTGAAAATATTCCTATACAGACACCTGGAAAGCATTCACGGTTCTGAAAATCTTGAGGTTAAAACACCATAGTGAATGATTTCAGTGTAAGATTAACAAATAATATCTGTTGTTAACTGTTGTCCAGTTCCGAAACTTGGATGTACCCACAAGTGTTCGACTGGGTGAGCTCTTGACACACCTACAAGGGAAAGGAGAGGAAGCATGCAGGGAATTTTACAGGGCGCTTCACTTGCATGTTGAGGAGGTCTACTACAGTTTGCCTACAAGGCTTCACCTCAGAGGTTCGTCTCTGAAATGGCTTATACTCATATCATACCACTTTCATACATATCAGTTTTTTTGGAGGTTATGGGGAGTAATTGTGGTTATATATGTAGGCATATTTTACATTTTATTCCATCCTGCTTCCAGATTCCTTGGATCCGCTCAAACTTCCACAGGTCATCAAACAGAGACATGCTTTTAATGACAGAGGTAAGATTTGGAGGGAGAGTAAAGAATTAGTGCCAGCGTGTGTGCCATGTAATATACAGTGTAATTTATTTATGTATATAACTAAGAAACAAAACTATAAAACATAAACAGTGATGCTGCTTTTAAGCTATGAGGGCTTTACACATGTTTAAAAAATAACTTTCAAAACTGTGACAAAACTATTCAAGGCAAAACTTGTATCTAATTATTTAGCACTGACATGATGCCTAATTTTTTATGTGCTTCCTGTTTTGCAGGTCCCCTCTTCTTTATGGGCTGTTTCACTTTTGTAGTGGGAATGGCTTTCTTCTATTACTACAGTGGTAAACTTTTTTTCTCCCAAATTTTTCACATGACTTCATTTTATATTGTCAGGATTATATAAATGCTCATTTTAATAGTGTGAAAACAATTTTCACTTTTCCAGAGGTAATTTTTATTTCTTTCTTATTGTGTAGAAGCTAAAGTGACTGGAGGAAGCCGGGCACTTGGGATGGCTGCTCTTGGACTGAAAAGAAAAGCTCAAGAAGTTCTTATATGGTACACTGAGGAAAGCCTCATAAAGTAAAGGGAGTCTTCTTCAGTTGTTCTGCTCTTGCTGCTTTTACCAAAGCACAACACACTATATATTTTCAAGGGTTTTAAGGTAATCGTGTACACAGTGCAAATGATATATACGCTTATTTTGCTTGTTTGCATTTGGTACTTCGCAATTGAAAGTATCCCATTTAAATGGTTTTGAGGGATTAATACAGTTGAGGTTAAAACTGGTGTAGGGAAATGAAATGGAGGATTTGTGCTGTGGAATGCTTCCACAAAACTAGTTTAAAACTTTTTTTCCCTAACATCCAACTTTATTACTTTTTTCAAACTGAGAAATTTGAAAACTAAATAATGGGGTGGTTCTTGACTTTAATCTATGATTTGTTAAGAACAATTTTTTTTTTTTTTTAAGAACTAGTTTTAAGCTCTTCAGTTAGGTCAAGAACAGCCCCTGGCTGCCATCTTGTGGTTAAAAGAGGAGCTACATCACTAAATTTACGTCTGTTTCATAAGAACTTCCCCAAATTCCGCCTCTCACAATACAAAAAGGATATTAAACGTGTGAACAATCCAGTGCCACATGGGGCAAGCCAAATCCATAAAAGTAATGCTTTAAATGTCTTTATAGCGAATGTTACAATCACGTGACTGCATCTACCAATGCGGGGACGGCTTCCTACCGCAGTGCAGTGTGGGTAGAGTTGCAACCAATTGAAAACATAAATATCGAATGTAACTGAAAACAGAGAAGACATAAATAGTGAACCACTCGTTTGAAGAAAACCACAAATATTCGACCTTTTCAATTAGACTAAAGTTTGGAAGTGACACCGTGAGTGAAACCAAGCTGTGTCCTCGCGGGTATATATGACGACGTCCTGCTTCAGGGAGGTTGTGTTGTATGAAAGGAGAGAAGGTTAGCACTCCCCTTGACAAGGATGGAATTGGCCCTAGTGGCCTGCAACACACATACGGTTAAGGCATTGCCACCTACTTCGTGGCATCTCTAACCATGTTTTTTTTTTAAAATTGTTTTTAACCGTTCCTTGACCTTCCCCATTACTGTTTAGCTGACTCTGTGTCACTTACCGCGCCCTGTTTTTCCACCGAGCAGCTGAAGAACGGAAATCTATCATACTCTTTGCTTCCGCTGTTTCGAGCAGGACGTTAATGTTTGTTAATGTCCTCGTTTGGCTTACCACTGAATGCACTGAAAACCCGGCGTCAAACTTCTCACTGAAGTAGTTACATTTAGTTTGCTACAGTTATAAATCCATATTGTATCATATAGTATGGATATTTTTGTCTTGTTGTTCATACTGTGCCTCTCCTGCCTATTTTAAATACTGTCTAGCAATAAATTAACTTGCACCAAATGTTGAAACAAATACAACTTCATAGTATTTTCTGTAAAAACGCACACAAGATATACTAGTAATGGTGCTTAAACCTTCTTCATGGTTTGAAGGTTAATTCTCAGGATGTCAGATGCTAATATTGTGGCAAATTGTAGTTTAAATTATTTTTGTGTTTGTGCCTTGTAATCAACAACCTCTAAACATAAAAATTTGACTTGTGGTGAAAATTAGTTAACATAAAGCCAGTTTGTCATGATTTGTGTGTCCTGTGCCTTACATGTGGGGATGCTATTTTGTAAAACTGACTTGTCTTCGCACAATAAACCAGTAACAACAAAAAAACACTCAACTTGATGGTTATGTAGTTTTATTTTGTATAACAAATTGTTTAAAAATAGGCAGTGTGTAACAGGAGATTATTAAAGGATAAAGACAGTGATCCTTAAAAATGCATTTAAAAAAGTCTAAAAGTAACCATATAATTCACAATAAACAAACAGAAAAACAAACTAATTCGTAAAGCAAGGAAAAAAGTTTAACCTGTTAACATCCACCAGGTCACCGGTAATCCATCATGAGTTAGGGTTTGGTTTTATTTCAACCACCGTTGATGAGGTGTAATACATTTCTTTTTGGTTCATTTGGGGTTTCCCATTCAGGTGAAAATTCTATAAAAATGGTAAATGGCCTGTATTTGTATAGCGCTTTACTAGTCCTTAAGGACCCCAAAGCGCTTTACACGATGGCAAGCTACATTGTAGCCACAGCCACCACTGGGGCGCACTGACAGAGGCGAGGCTGCCGGACACTGGCGCCACCGGGCCCTCTGACCACCACCAGTAGGCAACGGGTGAAGTGTCGTGCCCAAGGACACAACGACTGAGACTGTCCAAGCCGGGGCTCGAACCAGCAACCTTCCGATTGCAAGGCGACCTCCCAACTTTTGAGCCACGACCAAGAAACGTGGTGGACATTAACCAAACCAAAAACTCTTAACCATAGGTGGGTCAACAATGAGCTGGTGTATGCTAGGAGGTTGAAATTTTCTTTAGACAGATTTTGCATAGCTCTTTAAAAAATAAAGCAGTTAAGGCCCACTGTAAACATTATTAGAATGGTAAAGCTGTTACACATATAACACCTCTTACAGCAGCAAGACAGAATGAATCATGATGCACTCACCATTGTTAATTTTCTTTGGATTCTGTGGTAGTAACTGTGGCATACTAACCTGTTTAAGAACTTCAAAATAAAAGCAGGTGGTCTTCTTTAGCTGTTGTTTGGGAAACCTTCACAGTGATTGTGACTATTGCTCCTGATGTTTGTTTTCTGCATACAGACAATTACTTATTTGCATCAGTAACCTGAGCATTATAAGATCTGAGGTAACAGACTAGTTAATAGCCACATGAAATAAGAACTGATCAACACATGTAGGGGAGACTGGGGATAGTTGTAATGTGGGTCAGTTGTAACACTTCCAATTTCTCCAATCAGGGCTAAGTTTCAAATGATGTGTCACATCCTGTGCATGCCCAATTCAGTTCTGCTATCACATGTGAAAAATCAGCACATTTCGTCAAACACAGACAATTTAACATGAAAAAAAGTAATTTGTATGCCAAAAAGTAAGTTTTTCTATTTTATTTCAATTTGTAATAGCATTATCTGCTTTGCAGTTAAACTCATCAAACTTAAATTATGTTATTTGTATGTCTATGGGGATATATTCTGTGTAGGTCTTTAGTGCTAATGTTTTAGCCATTGGCTGTAATGTTAGCTAGTTCATGGCTATAGGAGTCTGGGTCAGTTGTAACAGCAACAGTCTGGGTTAGTTGTAACAATAATGCAGATGTTGCAACTTGCCACACTATTACTTTAACTTATATTAAACAAGTTGGGGCAACGACATCAGCAGAGAGAGGTTCACTGGTCGCTTTAGTATATGCGGTTAATGCCATTGGCAACACAATTCCTCCACTGTTTGTGTTCCAACACATACATTATGCAGACCTCTGTGTCAGAGATGGACCAGTAGGAAGTATTGATAGTGGAAATAAGTCAGGATGGGTGCAAGAAACAGATTTCCTCATCTTTCTGAAGCACTCTGCAAACCACACCAAGGTATGATAAAAAGTAATGGAATTGCAATGCTGGTGAACAACTACATTTTTTCAGCTTCATTGTTATGTTCAAAATTGGTGCAAGAGTTGTAGGTTATAATGCCCACTGAGCCAATGAGGCCAAACTCAAGGAAGACCAACCAAAATGAATGAAATATTCAGTTGCAGAAAATTCCATAATTTGTCTTTTTTGGGGGGTTGGAATATGTTCAAAAGCTAGATTTCTGCATTCTGTCACACACACACATAACTACATAAATGGCTCTAAGTGCATTCATGTGTTGAATAAACAAAGATTACATGTTAATGTTTTGTTAGTACCCTTATTTCATTGTGTTACATTTTACCCCAGGATATGTTACAACTAACCCAGACTATGGGGTTAATTGTAACATTTCACTCTTCGTGTTTGAAGCCATACCATGCAATGGGTAATTGTGCTGCAGAGAAAATAGCTGCACTATTTAATAGCAGAGACATGTAAATACTTTGCATTACATTTTGAATCCACTACCTTCAACGAGCTCCAATTTACAGACAGAAATGTCAAAAATGTTACAACTGTCCCCGGTCTCCCCTACATGACTGGCCATGGTCTGAGGAACTCCTTTTACTCAGAAACACACACACACACAGGAGACAATATAATGTAACTTGATTCTCTGAGTTCACTGGTTCTCCTGAGACCTGATAGGTTGAATTACAGAAAAGCAAATACACCTGCATGCCAGCCAGTTTGGTGAATAAATATCTTGTCTTGTCTCTCCCTGTCTGGATGTCCTGCCTTTACTAAATTGATCAGTAGGGATTGAAAACTATTTAAAACACAATCAACCGCTCGAGCTGGGCTGCTGGACACCGAAGGCCGTAATGAAGACGTTGATAACCACTATGATAAAGACGAAAGCTGTGGTCACATTCTCCAAGATGTCCAATCTGTAGTGATTTCTTTCATCATTTAGATTCCACTTAACTAAACAGAAGAAGAAAAACATAATCGTGAGTATAGAGGAATGGAAACATTAGTCATTATTACTGTTTGTGCACAGTCACTAGGAACTACCTCATTTCCTCACATGGGGGCAATACCGTTTTCTGTCACATCAATACTGAAAGATAAGATATGAATTAGCCGACAGCTGCTGCCCTCAGATGTATAATTAGTTCTTTCCTTCAGTGAGACACTACATAACAAGGCAATGTTTATGGGTCTGTTTATAATCAAGTGATACATGCTATCTAAATGCACCAAATCTTCACGTCAACCTTGGCTGAATGAAACCACCCGTGCTCTCAGACACGACGTGCAGAGAGAAAATGGAAAAAGCATCCTGCATGACCGCTTAACAAAATATCAGAAAACTGATAAAGCTGCAAAATCTGCTTTCCTATCCAGTGTAATTTCTACCAGTAGTCACAAGCCCAGATTTCTTTTTAATATTTTTATTCTGTGGTTAACCCCTGTGCCACTGTTCCTAGTGTAGCTTCCTTTGCACTGTGAAAACTTTTTGAAACATTTCACTGAAAAAATCTCTGCTTTAAGGTCCCTGCATTCACAGGCAGTGTTAGACCTAGATTCACTTTCTAAATGCTCAGCTGTTTTTCAGCAGTTTGAGCCAGTGAATTTTTCTGCGTTAGCCTCCTAGGACCTGGCGTCCACATATGGGGACATCACATTTTGGGTTATTTAGACCAAAATACTCAATTTTTCTCTACAAGGGCCTGATATCCACTTACGAGGACATTATACTGCTACTGTTCTATCGAAATTCTTCTTTAAATGAATATCCTCATATGTGGCTCTCATTTTTCTTAGAAACAAAAATCAGGTAAAAAAAAAAAAATCGGGTAATTCTTTGTTTTTACATTACTGTACTGAGAGTGCGCTTTTAAGAGTTTTTAATGATCTTTTAACAGACGACTCAGGTTGTTCTATTGTTTTTGTCCTTTTAGATTTGACTGCCACCTTTGACACAGTTGATGATAAAATTCTTTTATCAAGACTTGAACACGTTGTTGTTCTTTTTCTGTTACTATTGGGCAATACTCCTCTTCCTCTGTGTTGTGTTGTGGTGTGCCACAGGGGTCTGTTTTGGGTCCAATTCTGTTCTCCCTATACATGGGGTCTATTTTTAGGAAATACAACATCTCCTTTCATTGTTATGCTGATGACATCCAAATTTACTTTCCCTTGAATCTGGATGTCTCTGTCCCCCTGCAGGCTTTGCTAAACTGTCTACATGATGTTAAAGACTGGTTAACTCAGAATTTTCTCACACTAAATGAAAATAAGACTGAAGTTATGGTTTTTGGAAGTCATGTCCCTTTTGATAAGCTAACTGACTAAGCTAACTACCCTTGGTCCTCTTGCTTCTCATCTTTCTCAAACTGTAAGGAATCTCAGAGTGTTTTCAGGTAGCTCTTTTAAATTAGAGAAGCAAGTGTCCGCAACAGACTACTGCAATTCTCTCTATTTGGGTCTTCAACACTCATCTCTCCATCGCTTGCAGTTAGTCCAAAATGCTGCTGCCCGTCTTTTAACAGGTGTTAAAATGAATGAACACATCACTCCAGTTTTAGCAAATTTACGCTGGCTTCCTGTCAAATATCGTATTAATTTTAAAATTCTTTTACTTACTTTTAAAGTTGAGAATTTTGCTGAGAATTTTGGTTAAAAGGCTTAACAATCTTCCTTCACGTTATAGTACATGCTTTAAACTTAGACTTCACATAGCTGACAATGAATATTTGCCATTTTTGCAATCGATAAGAGAATCGATAAAGAATCGACTCGTTAAACAGAATCGAAACCGGAATCGGAATCGTGAAAATCTTATCAATACCCATCCCTAGACAGCGACTAGAAAAAAACAACTTTTAAATTGCATTTATGAACACATTTATGAATAATACCTATTTATCACTTTATAAATTAAAGTAGTAAAGATAATAACATTATGGTTTACACTGAATTAAAAAAAATTCTATAGGCTCATGTTTTGATTTTTTTAAAGGTTTCAAGCCAAAAATACCAAGAAAACTGTAACAAAGTTAAGCAAATGGAAATCTGGCAACAACCTCCAGACTTACCTATGAAAATGAGCAGA